TTCCTGACGTCAGATGCACACTCGACCTGGCCCCGCCCCCTGGCTGTTCCCTCTGTGCGGCGCTGTTGTCTCCCGCCGTGGCACTCGGCTGACTTCTGTGCCACTCAGCTGGGCTGCTGCGCAGGAGCAAGAGGTGCAAGCGGCCATTTAGGCCCTGCGCTCCCCATGAATCACTCCCGTGAGCAGCACAGGAGTCTGCGGAGCGCCACAGCGGGAGGCAACGGTCCCGCCCAGAGGGAACAGCCAGCTTTACAGAGTCACAGACTTTGGGCTACTATATATATGATGATGCATAAAAGTTGGGAGTGGCTACAGAAGAAATAAGAGTAAAACGCAGGCTAACACCTACTGTAACAAGCGAAGTAATTGAAAAACACAAAGGTTTTGTCTCATCATATATTTACAGCAGTCTATGCTGGATGAAAAGCCTTCCAGCCAGTTCATTTGTCGAGCATAATAACTGCTGTAAGTGGAGATGTGGTAGAGAGTGGTAATTAGTGTTTTGTGTGTGCCCTCCATGTTTGTTTTTCTTTCCCTCTGATGAGTATCTGCATTTGGGGTTCTGGCAAGAGACAAGTTGTTTACATGGAAACCCACGATCCTGTCTCTGCTAATTTGTCAAGTCCTTGCCCACACCTTTCTTCCTGCCATGGAATGGCCGTTTATGAGGTGATTGTCCAATTGGTTATGTTATACCTGGCAGGAGATGCATTGTATCTTTGTTTCTGAAGAACTGGCTTGCGCCTGCCTTTCTAATTCTGGAAAATATTATGGCATTGTATACTGGTTGAGCCTCTCATGTCCGACAACTTCCATGGTCCAGCATGCTTTTAGTTAGTTGGATGTCTACTTATCATGGGTGTGGCCAAGTTTCCCATGATCTCATAAAGGTTATTTACAGCCACCCGTCCTGGTTCTCAGTGTTCTGTGCTGGATTTCTATTTAGCAGAGTGCACTACAATAATTCAGTGCTGATAAGGTCCCTACCTCTGACAGAAAAGTGCTTGCTTTGTAGCCTGGTGTAAATAAAAACAGGTACTCTTTGCATCTAACTGCTTGGACATGTAGAAGCTTCTGGGGACCCAATAATATAATTTCTCTTCTCCATCTTATTTTAATTGAGTTTCAAACAACTAACCTTGATTTAACCCTGAATCAGTAAAGCACAGGGCAAATTGCACATCTGCAAGTTGTGCATGACATGGAGATACAGAACGGGATCTGACAGACCTCCTGACAGTAGCCACCATGCACATAGTCATCATGATGGTACTTTGTTAGGAGAATGTGAAGGAAATAGGGTAAAGACTAAATAATAATAATAATAATAATCTTTCTTCTGGCCTTGCCTTTAATTTAAACAGGTCAAATAAGCAATCGAGGCAATGTGAGTGAAAGCACAAGGCTGCTTTCCCCTGCTCTCTGTTGACCTTGCCTTTTAGTAATAAGAGAAGATAAGGGGACCTAATTGAGCAAGTGGTTGCTATGGTAACTAAGCAGCTGGAGGGGACAAGAAGGTATAAGGAAGAGACACTGAGTCTGTGAGAGAGTGTCTATGGCAAAAAGTAACCCTACTTCTTACCCCTCCCATCATCTTAAAAGAGAAGTGGTCTTATTGACCTCAGATCTAAGCTCTCCCCGCCCCTCCCCCGAACATATGTTGTATGGGGAGGTATCGGAAGGGGAATTACAAGTATAATTAAATTTACTGAAAAGAGAAGGGAGAAGAGGGAGCTTCTTTAACATGCATATCTAGGGTCTATGGGCAAAATACGGCCCACCAAGCCACCAGATCCAGCCTGCGGAGGCATCGGGAGCCCCAGGCAGGCTCCCTTGCTTGCCCTGAATGCTGCTCAGAAATGCGACTTGCGTGCCCCATTTCTTTCAAACTGGTGGGGAGGGGGAAAGCTTTAGGAACTGCCCCCTATCCTCAGCACAATCCCATTGGCCAGTCTCCTCGGCAGAGTTATTCGCTGAAGCAAATGGCTGGGCAAACTGGCTGGCTGGGAAACGTTTTAAGCTATGCAAGCCTTAGCTCAGCAGGCAAGCAGGCTGGCTTGGCTGCTGGCTGGTAAGTGTCCTGGCCAGAGCCTGTCTATGGCACCCCAGCTTCTCCCTTCCCCAACCCTCTGCACCCCCCATCAACATACCCAAGCCTTCTGCCCCCTTCTTGCATTCATACCCCTTCCTAGATCTGGCACCCCAGTTTTCTGCCCCAGATCACAGTCCTCTCCTACCCTATGTCACATCCCAAACTGCTTCACTCCAGACCCATGCCCTAAGTCACAACTGTCTCCTTCACCCAAACTCCCTCCCAAACTCCTTTCTCCCTCCTACAACCCAGTCCCTTACTCCAAGCTCACTTTTGTACCTAACCTCCATCACAGACTCTGCATCTCCTCCATTAATATAATGGAAGAGTGCGGCCCTCAACCACTTCCCAAAATCTTGGAGTGCCCTCCCCTTCAAAAATTATTGCCCACCCTTGGGTTAATAGAAGAGATTCTATAGGCATATAGAACAGTAGGTGGGTGAGGAGAAGAGAGAAACTGATGTATAGAGATAAGCATAACTGGTGTGAAGAGCTTTGGAATATGCTTGCTTGTTTAGTCCCAATAACCCCCTTGTATTGCCTGAAGACTACACTCTGGACTGTTTTTTCTCCAGTGAACTATATCTGGGAACTGAGAGGGAGGAGGGAGCTGGACTCCTGCCAACAGTACTGTAAGATAACAGCATAAAAATTGCATTGAGAAACATTAAAATAGAGGCATTTATAGATGCCATTTAGGTCATGTCGATACTTACAAGCTTACATCGGCACTGCTGTGCAGATACAGCTATGCTGCTGTAAGATCTCTTGTTTAGTTGCATTATGCCGACATGAGTAAGTAACAAAATCAGCTTAATGAACAACAATAACTATGTCAACAGGGGAGCATTTCCCACTGACCTAGTGCTGTGCATATAAGCACTTATGCTGACAAAATTTGTTACTCAGGTTTGTGGTTTTTCTCACATCCCCGAGAGACAATTTTTTTCATACTCCTGAGTTTTGCCAACATAAATGCTAGTGGAGACATGGTCTTCTGCATTAAAAATTGAGATTGCGATGCAACCAAGAATCCTCCACACATGCTCCGGCCCATGGCCTCACAAAACCATATAATCATAGAGGTGGAAGAGACCTCAGGAGGTCAAGTCCAGCCCCCTGCCCAAGGCAGGACCAATCCCAACTAAATCAACCCAGCCAGGGCTTTGTCAAGCTGAGACTTAAAAACCTCTATGGCTGGAGATTCCACCACCTCCCTCGGTAACCCATTCCAGTGCTTCACCACCCTCCTAGTGAAACAGTTTTTCCTATTATTCAACCTAGACCTTCCCACTGTAACTTGAGACCATTGTTCCTTGTTCTGCCAGCCATCACTACTGTGAACAGCCTTTCTCCATCCTCTTTGGAACCTCCCTTCAGGAAGTTGAAGGCTGCTATCAAATCCCCCCTCACTCTTCTCTTCTGCAGACTGAACAAACCCAAATCCTTCAGTCTCTCCTCATAGGTCATGCTCTCCAGCCCCCTAATCATTTTGGTCACCCTCCGTGGGGTCCTCTCCAATGTGTCCATATCCTTTCTATAGTGGGGGGCCCAGAATTGGACACACTATTCTAGATGTGGCCTCACCAGAGCCGAATAAAGGGGAATAATCTCTTCTCTGGATCTGCTGGCAATGCTCCTCCTAATGCACCCCAATATGCCATTAGCCTTCTTGGCTACAAGGGCACACTGTTGACTCATATCCAGCTTCTCATCCACTGTAATCCCGAGAAATGCTTCTTAGCTAGTCAGTCCCTAGCCTGTAACAATGCTTGGGATTCTTCCGTCCCAAGTGCAGGACTCTATACTTGTCCTTGTTGAACCTCATCAGATTTGTTTTGGCTCAATCTTGTAATCTGTCTAGGTCACTCTGGACCCTGTCCCTGCCCTCCAGCTTTATCTGCCTCTCCTCCTAGCTTAGTGTCATCTGCGAACTTGCTGAGGGTGCAATCCATCTCCTTATCCACGTCATTAATAAAGATGTTGAACAAAACCGATTCAAGAGCAAATCCTTGGGGCACTCCACTAGAAACCGACCGCCAACCTGACATCGAGCTGTTGATCACTACCCGTTGGGCCCAACAGTCTAGCCAGCTTTCTATCCATCTTACAGTCAATGTATCCAATCCATATTCCCTTAACTTGCTGGCAAGAATATTGTGGGAGACTGTATCAAAAGCTTTGCTAAAGTCAAGGTATATCACATCCACTGTCTTTCCCATATCTACAGAGTCAGTTACCTCATCATAGAGAGATTGGTCAGGCACGACTTACCCTTTGTGAAGCCATGTTGACTATTCCTGATCACTTCCTCTCTAAATGCTTCAGAATGGATTCCTTGAGGATCCCCTCAAGGATCCTTAATCCACCTCTGCTGTTACGCATTCCCATTTAGACAGATGATAGAGATGCAGCTGTGTTAATCTGGTCTAGCTGAAACAAAAGACAGGACTATGCAGCACTTTAAAGACTATAACAAGATTGTTTATTTGGTGATGAGCTTTCATGGGCCAGACCCACTTCCTTAGATCAATTTGTGGAAGAAAATTGGGTCGTGCCAATTTTCTTCCACAAATTGATCTGAGGAAGTGGGTCTGGCCCACGAAAGTTCATCACCTAATAAACCATCTTGTTAGTCTTTAAAGTGCTGCATAGTCCTGTCTTTTTGTTTTATTTAGACTGAAGTAGTTTTAAGGGAGGTGAAATTGGTTCTTAAGATGTTTGACAATTAGTGATTTTAAGTTTAGTCTCATTTCTCCCAAGATGTTTATAGTTTAGAAAGCAGTGAATGTAACACTTAGATTTCCTGTGTTCTCTGCTTTGCACAGAAATTGTGTGTAAGCTGTGGGTTCAAATATACGGTATGCTTGCCTTGAACTCTTTCCTTCTTGCACTTGATCCATTTTAGGTCGCGTAAGCTTCATAGAACCGAATATTCAGAATGTTCCAAAAGACTTTGAGATTGAAATGCCAACTGTGGTTGCAGAGAGCCCTCCTTCTCAAGCACGAGGATGTGGCTCTACTTTTCTTGGGAACAGGTAGGAATGTGTTCAGCAGTGATTTCACCTATACTGTTTCTCTTAACTTGATTGTCTTGTCAGTTTTCTTTTTCCACATTTTACAGAGGTTGATACAGGTTGCTTTAATATCTGATGTCTGACTTGTTGGTCAATGTTTTGCTCAGAATTTAGAGAAGATAAATGTCTGAAAATCAGTTGTGCAGTGAAATACCTTATTTATCTAATAGCACTTAACTCTTACATAGCACTTTATCTTTGCACAACACCGTACAAGCATCAATCTTCACAATCACAGAGTGAGTTAGGTTAGTATTTTACCTGTTTTAAATATGGGCAAACTGAGGCATAGTAGAGCTGGGATGAGAACTCAGGAGTTGCTTAATTTTGGCTTTTAGCTCAATTCACTGATACCTTTCAGAAGTAGAACAAACTTGTTTTTAAATGAGGTGCCTGTGAACTATCATAGAACTATCAAGGTGAACAAATTCTTAGTGCTGTATTGTGTGGTAATCTAGTGAGCAAAGCAATATGGGGATGAGAGCAATATGCTGGGGCAAAAAGATGGCTACTGGACAAGGGAGACTTCTTATTTAAGTAAGTCCTGGCCTAGCAGTGTAAACCTGCCAAATACCAGTAAGGAGCAGCCTTCATTTTCTGGTAATTGCTCACCTGACTAGGCAATGGCAAATCTCCTAACTCTTGGCTCCTAATCTGGTCCTTTAAAGTGTCCTTATTAAATCAGAGGCTCTGATGTAGCTAAATGCGATGATGATACCAAATTTTGGATGACAAATCCCTGAATCAATGGCTTAACTGGGGAATATTTGCTGGAGATTTTCTCTGTACCTCTCACTTGCCATACCTACCTTCTTCATCTGTACTTAAAAATTTCTTTCCATGGTCTCTCTGAATCCTCTTCGGTTTCCTGTAGTCTCTGTTCCAAAGGAGAGAGAAACCAGAAAAGAAAGTAAGGAAACTAATAAGAACTTGACAGAAAGTGGGTGGTATCTTTTCTCTCTTCATTTTGTCTAGCTCTTTGCAGGCTGAGGAATCTGACCTTGATCTCAAGAGATGTTTTTCACTCTAAGCTGATTGCTAGAGTCTCTTACGTGGAAACTAAGGACTCAGAAGTCCTTTCAGAGCCCCTGAATGGGGAACCTTCCATGAATGGTTAACAATGTCACAACTGTGTAGTGTGATGAGAGACAACTGAACATAGTGCCAAACCATTCAACTAGTGAAAGTCAGTGTCTAAACACTTGGCACCAAAGTCCATGGAAATGCTAGATCCAGCTTTTGACAATAGTAGCCTCTTGCAGATACAGAGAGAGTGTTTTTCTTTTTAGCTTGTTCACGTAGTTCATTTCAGTGATCACATCTTTAGCACCTCCTTTCCACTCAGTTATTTCCTTTTAGCACCAGTCTCCATAAAAACAAACAACAAGGAATCCAGTGGCAATTTTAAGACTAAAATATTTATTAGAGTACTCAAGCATCAGCTTTTTTGAGCTCCCAAAAGCTTATGCTCTAATACCCTAATAAATTTGTTAGCCTTTAAAGTAACGTTGCTTAGAGGTGTGTAATCCACTAGGCATGTAGTAGATCATTTTTTTATCAACTACAAAATTAATTGATAAGGGAAAGCTTCATCAGTCCCAACTTGCACCAGGTTCAGGGGATATCCCTGCTGAGACTCTGCGGTTTAAATGTAGTAAGAGCCAGGCATGTAGGCAGCCCGGCCCCTACTACATTTAAACTGTAGAGGTACAGCGGAGATAGGTCCTGGACCTGGTGCAAGCTGGGACTGAGCAGTCCCGGCTCAGTCCTGGTTTGCGCCAGGTCCAGCAGCCCCTGTCTGGGGGGGAGGAGGGGTTCTTAGCAGGGAACTGGGACACTGGCTGCTGCTGGAGCAGTCTCTGCCCGCAGCTAGCCTGGGTCGCCATGGACAGGGGCTGCAGCAGCCCCTGTCAACGGAGGATTCTAGCTCTGATACAGAGGCCGGAGGGGAGGGGGTGGGTGTCAGTAGTTGAAGAGTTGTTTCGACTACCCGATAAGCCTGGGCTTATCAAGTAGTCGACTACTCAACTGTGGAGCCCCATGGCCGGAGGCCAGGAGTGAAGCCCGAGCCATGGGGCTCCAGTTGCCCCACCTCTTCCCCCAAGCGCCTCCCCCATCCCTGCTCCCCCATCCCCCTCTCTGAGCTGGAACACTGCAAATGAACTATGTGTGGTGCTTTGTAAATCTGGAAGTACATGGTGACCAGAAACAAGCAGTTCAATTCACTAGCCTCCATTGTTTAATAAATTGGTTTGTTTAAAATGCAAAACATGTTTTAATTAACTTTATGAGAATTAAAATGCTTCAGAGAGATAGCCGAGTTAGTTTGTAACAGGAAAAACTTAAAACAACAAATAGTCTAGTAGCATCTTAAAGACTAATAAAACATGTAGATGATATCATGAGCTTTTGTGGGCACAGCCTACATCTTCAGATGACAGGAGTGTTGGAAGTCCAGATCCAAGAATAAATAATGGAAGGTGAGGGAAGGGAGAAAAAAGGAAGGAAGGAAGAAAAAAAGAGACAGTGAGTAGATAAGCTTCAGAGGGGATAGCTGAATGAGTCTGTAAAAGGAAAAACATTAAAAACCACAAATAGTCTCTAGGAGTACCTTAAAGACTAAATAGTTACAAGGGTCTGATAAGAACCATTAGTTTGCTCTTGGAAAGGAAGATGACCAACACCAGATTCTGCACAGACATCAAGACCCTTTAGCACCTTCATTGTTTGGTTGGTTGGTTAAGTCATTAAGATGTGGAAGATAATGTGGGAGCCATCCAATATCCTGGATTCATACCATTTGCATAAGAATTAAACTTGTGAATGAAGTTAAGTTCCAACCCTTCTCTGTGTATTTGACTTGTGGAATTGGTCTGGAAAAAAAAGTTACTTGGAGATTCATTAATGAATGTCCAGGAAGATTAAAGTGTTCTCCAACACGTTTTTGTGTATTGCCTTTTCAGTTATCTGATTTGGGTCCATTAATTCTTTCCTGTAGAGACTGTCCAATTTGGCCAATATACATGGCAATGGGACATTGCTGGCATTTGATGGCATAGATCACATTAGTGGATGTGCAGTTAAATGATCCTCTGATTTGGTGGCTGATGTGAACTCCTAAAACACTATAACAGTCTTACCATTAAGTCAACGGACAGTCCTCTAGAGCTTTCCAGTCTATCTTGTCACCCAGACAAGCTGGACTTAGTGATAGATGGTTGCTATATACCAAAGATCACAAAATATTTAGGTTGCTCCTAGTGCAAAGAGACAGTCACTTACCTCAGATCTAGTGCACCTTAGATGTCTTACCAGACAATGATTGTAGCCAATCTTAAAATTAACTAAAGGTTTATTAAGTAGGAAAAAGAAACAAGTTATTTACAAAGTTAAAGCAGATAAACATAAACGCACAAATGAGAGAGTCTTAGGTTCCAAAAGGTGATAGTAGCTACTATGATATGCAAACTGTTATGTCCTTTAGGATTAACCCAAGCTAAACAGTTGGGAGATCCCTTGCTCGTGCTTAGAAATCTTAACTTCTCAGAATTCAAGCAGCATATGGATACAATTATTCCTTAAGAGGATTTTTTTATTCCCTGCCCCCAACATACAAACTGGTGGGATGAGCATTTATGCAAGTCTCCTTCCTTTTCATGGGTGTCAGGGGAGCAACCCACAAAGTCTTTTGCCCACTGATCTTCCAGAATGACTTTGGTGTCTGGAGATGTTCTTTTATGGTACTGCTTATGGTAAACTTGTATTTCACGCTTGGTAATGTTTCTCCCCTGTAGGGATGTTAAATTTAGTTTAATCAACTAATCGACTAATTGATAGATTTTCCATTGACTAGTTGATTAGTCAATAAGTGGGGGAGCTGCAGTGGGGTTAGCTTCTGGTACTGGGGGCTAATCCCACTGCTGCTCTCTGCCTTTTAAATGTATTCAGCTGATTCCCGGCTTGCGCCCAGTCCCAGATGCTGCACCTCTGCTTTTTAAATGTATTCAGAGTCTGCTGGCTCTTACTACATTTAAAAGGCTGAAGTGCAGTGCGGGGGGGGGGGGGATCCAGCGTGAGCCAGGCCAGCTGATTCCTGGCTTGCACTGGGTTGGGTAGTGCGAGTCGGGACAGCTGATTCCTGGCTCGCACTGGGTTCCTTCTGCTGTACTTCTGATTTTTAAATGTATGAAGAGCTGGCAGGCTCTTCATACATTTAAAAAGCAGAGGCACAGTGTCTGGGACTGGGCAGGAGCTGGGAATCAGCTGATTCCTCCTGGCTTGCACTCAGTCCCCATTGCCCCCTCTAGCAGGAAGAGTGCTGGGGGGAAACTGGCTTTTAAGGCTTGCTGCCTCTATTGGCTTTTGCTTATTGGATAGTAGACTAATCGCTTACATCTCTACTCCCCTGACTGTGGAGGTTTACAATCTTAGCAAACATTTAAACTTTACCTTCTAACATGGGCTTACAGATATTACAAGTAGGATTAGCAAATGTAGCATCCTACAAGCATTCCATAAAGGCTAATCATATTCTTATAACTCTAATATCTAGTTTAACAATACTAACACAGAGACAGTCCAAACTGGTTTTCAGCTATGTGTCGGTTGTCAGTATGTAGTGAGAGCCAGTGTCTTTGGTATGATCTGGCATGATCACAGAGAGTCTGACAAAGTCCGACTATTGACCTTAAAGAACAATACAAAGTTATGATTGTTTGTTTGTTTGGTTTTTTGCAAGTGATTAATTTCTTTGTCACCACAGTTAATTCAACAACAGATACTGTAAAAATTAGTTGAGTAAACTATGTTTGCCTCCACAGAGGTAGAAAGCGATGCAGTACCTTGCCTTGTGGCCTTAAGGTTCTGGCTTATGAAGGATCCAAAGGAAGAGGGATGCCATTTTCTGTTAGCATGAGGCATGCTTTTGTTCCTTTTTCAGGTAATGATTTGATAGTTTAGTATATTGCACCTTTTTCTTCAGTTAAGCACATAGCTAATGAAAATTTAGATCTGGAAATGAAGGGAAGAAATGCTGATGTGTACATCTGTTTGGGCAGTATGATTGAAAATCCAATATTGTAGTTAGTAATTTTTCCCAGAGTTATTCGGAAAGAGGCAGTGTAAGAGGAAAGCCCAGGCATGGAGGGATATTTAGGTTCACACTTTTTATATTGGTTTATAAAGGTCGTATAGGTTCATATTTTTTCTCATATAAAAATATAATTTGTGCTTGATGTAGTACTTAATACAATTTATGTTATATCTGTTTTTCAATGAGATTTTTGAATGTCTTCATACTGACTGCCATGGTTCTGTATCAATTGGGGTGTTCCAGCTTCTGTCCAATATAGTTATTAGATGGATAAACACTTTAGATCTTACTGCCAATTTCATTAAATTCTGTAGTCATGTGCCTGTTTTGATTGGCTTGTGTTTTAACTATTCCTTTGTTTTATCAAACTTGGTTTTAATTAAAATTGATGTTAAAATGATGAACTTAAATAAGTGATCTGATTATGTTGAGCTGTAGAGCATATGCAACTCCATTTGTTGTTAATAGTTCTGTTCAAATGGCTATTATTTTGGGTCTACGTCTAATGGAGGTAACAGTTTGAAGGCTGTGCATTGGAGTGGGCAATTGGTTGTTTTGAGTCAGAGCTTGAAAAATTCATTCATCTATTGTAAATAGGAAGTTCTCTTGGGGTGTGAGTGATGGCCAATTCCATCAAATTCATATCCCTTATGGTGGTGAAGAAAACTTTCTAAATAGGCATTGAACGTAAAATGATGCTGTTTCTTTTGCTTGTGTCTGCAGACAGATAGTTCCAGTATATCTGCTTCTACTTGTAACTTTTCCGACAGTTAATGCTGATCAGAGTCTTGTCATTTTTCCTTGTTGATACTCAGAACTCTCTGGGCATCAGGCAAGCGGAAAAGAATCAGTCTAATTTTTGCTATTTGGCAAAATTCTGAACAGCAGCAGACGCAAGCCCTGAAGCTATTCACTAACAGAGGTAGGCCCTGCATAGCACCCAGCCTCACATCTGCTAGAAATGTCTGCAATGGGAGGCAGAGGCATGAGGAGAAGTTACTAGTACATCCTGTTTAGTGCCCTACTAAATTCATGGTCCATTTTGATCAGTTTCATAGCCAGAGGGTCTTAAAATAGGTTGCTTTCATATTTTCAGATATTTACATCTGAAATTTCAGTGTTGTAACTGTGGGGATCCCTTCTCTGGCAGCAGGGACTTGCAGCTAGGCGCTTTCCCAGCAGGGAGAGATCACAAGACTCCTCCAGCTGCAGGGAACTTTGGGGCTGCTGCCTAGCTCTGGAGCTTTTTGTAGCAGGGGGAGGCACTTAGAGGTGAGTTTGATCTCCCTCCTCCCCAAGAGTTGCCGTAGAAAGGAAGATGCAGTCCTGTCCCTACAGGGATTTTTTGCAGCTAGGAGATCGGACTCACATCTAGAAGCCTCCTCCAACTTCAGGATCTTCCAGAGCTGCTGCTCCACGCTGTAGCTTCCTGCAGCAGGGAAGGTGCTTGAGGTTGTTTCTCCTTTTTCCATGAAAGAGGCTGTGCAGAGGAAAGAGCAGTCCTATCCCTCCTTGGCTAAGTGGGGACTTGCAGCTAGGAGCCCCCCAAATGTGGCCTACCCAGTAGCAAGGGGGAGATCAGATTTCACAGGGAAAGACCATGCAATTGGTAGACCATAATCATATTGGTGAAAAGCTGTTCACAACAGGAGCAGTAGGTGTAGTTTTGTAAATAGTAGCTGCTTAGCCAAATGAATCTCCACTGCCTTTCACCTTGTGCAGCCCTGGAATTGCACTTATATAAAGCTATCATCAGTGTGAGTGAGTGGAGAAATCTGTTCTCTTTGCACTCATGTACATGATGATCTTGGGGCAAGGCTTTTGAGGATCTTGTCTGTAGTTCCTCAGGTGATGGATTTTGACATGATATCTGAGTGTTAATTTATAAAAGACAATGTTTTGATTAATTTGGTCTGTTGGCTGCAGGAGGTTTAATTTTGGCTGCTGATTATTCCCAACTTGAGCTGAGGATCCTTGCTCACTTGTCTCGTGACCGTCGTCTCATTGAGGTCTTGAACAGTGGGGCTGATGTTTTCAAGAGCATTGCAGCTGAGTGGAAGATGATTGACCCTGAAGCTGTTGGAAATGAGATAAGGCAACAAGCCAAACAGGTAGTCTTAGATAAAATTTCTATCTGCATCAGATGTAGCAACTTAGTGAGTAGAATGGACTTGATCAAATATTATAATGTACAGGGGCAACCTTCTTCTTCAAAAATCTGTTTCCTTTGGCTATTAAATTATAAAATAGGGGACCTCAATAGTTTTTTTGACTCCCTCTAAGATATAAAATAGTTTCTATGTAGCCCTCTATCCAGAATATATTTAAGCACCCTGTCAGGCGTTTTTCCATTGATTTATCAAAGAAAACTATCCCCAAAAAGATGGGGAAAGGGGGGAGTGTGGGGGTTCATAATTTTCTGGAGTCATCAAAATACATGGAATTTGAGACCAAGATTGTTGGTGTGGACATATCAGAGCTTTAGCTAATAGCTGCAAATTCTGGAAGATTACCTAGTCCTTTCTCTCATTCACATTACTGTTTAGTGCATTACCTGGAAAATAGGAGAAGAGAAGTTGTATTTTTACGGTGCATCAGTTACTGGCCTCTTCTAAAGGTAGGATACTCGACTGGATGAACCACTGATCTGATGTATTGAAGTAAATCTTGTTATCCTCAAAGTTCAAGTTCAAAATGGTGTCCTTGAAGTATTGTCATTTTTCCATGAATACAGTTAGTTAGCCCGAAAGCAGCAGGATCCAGACTTGCATCCTAAAATCATGTTGGGATTTACTGTCTTCTGAAGTTCAAATTTTATTGCTACTTTGCTCTCTGAATCACTAACTGTGTATTGTGATTCTGCTGCCTTTCTTCTGACAGATTTGCTATGGTATTATCTATGGAATGGGAGCTAAATCTTTAGGAGAACAGATGGGTATTGAAGAAAATGATGCTGCCTGTTACATTGAATCCTTCAAATCCAGATACCCAGGTAAGGTACATGTTTGTGGCCCTGCCTCTCTTCCCTTGCGTTCTCTTCCTTTCCTGGAACTGCTTCAACTCCTATCTTCTCCTGTGCCTTATGAAAAAGCTTCTCAGGGTTGTATGTGTACACAAGGAAATGCGGTTTCTGCTTTCACATATACTCAGTGCCCCTGCTTTGTTAAATTATGTTCTGTAAATTGAATGCCACGTTATTTTAATGATTTTGTTGTTTTGACTGTCAATTAATCCTCCCTGAAGGGAGCTTTAAAAATTAACCTAACTTAGAATAAGTTTCCTTGCTAGAATATGTAATATATTTGGATCTAAGGATTCAATTTGTTGTTTGTAAGATCAACTAGTCATCTTCCATTTTGAATGAACTTTTTCACATCTTTGCTGCTAGCCCTGCCATTTTTATCTGGTTGCTCAGAGTAGCTCTGACACCGTTTTTATATAAAGACATCATAATTTTAAGGAACATATCAAGTTTCCTAGAAAAAAATGCCTGAACAGGAAGATAGCATTTTGAAAATGAGCAGAGGTCAAGTGGACTGAGTCACAGCAAGCTTTAATAGGAGAGCTTTGAGCTGAGCTAGAAAATAATGAAGTGAAGAGTCAGTGCTCCCTAACTGAGTCTGTTCTAAGGTTATCTCTGATAACTTTTGAATAATTTTCCATTTCAACTGAGGTCCATCAGAATATGACACCCACTCTAATATACAAAGGAAGAATATCTCAAACATTTCATAATACAGAACACATACATATAATTATCTATCTGTCTATAAATGTGTAACAGACTCAGTTAGGAAGCACTGACTCAATATATTATTGAATAATTCAGTCTCTTTTTTGAATACTTTTCTCTTTTAGAATATAATGTTGTTTTTAATATTTTCAATTTTTTTAAATCCTTGAAAAATTCTTTCTGAAGCCCTAAAACAGAAGAGTTTTATAAAATGTAAATCTTTGTCCACTTCAGTACAATTATCTGAGCTTGGTTGTTCCTCAGTGGACAATATCCCTGACTTGCATACTTTTGGAGTTTCTTTTTATGCTCATGATGCGTTCTGTCCTTTCCTTGCCGAGCCTAGTTGGATTAATTCTTTTTGTTCTGAAGATCTGAAGTAACACTATACAAAGGCTCTTATTCTCTTTCAGTTAATTCCCCTCCTGATGTATGTCCCTTCAGTACTACTGCCAAGTCCTGATTTTCCATAATCAAGAATAAATAGCAGCGATGTACCTTTGACATGCTACCACTTGGATACTCTTGTTCACAGCTAGCTAAAACCTCATTTTCCTCAAAATCATAATAAACTAACCCAGAAGAACTGACTATAAGTATGAAAGAAAGATCCCTCACTCATGTCCTTTGTCTCACAGAGGGACTGAGAAATATAAGGACTTCCTCTTCTTCACATATTAGTGATGTAATATTTGGCATTCCAAAACTAGTGTCAGTGCCTTAGAGCAAAAACAGAGTTTAGAGTAAACATGAAATACCAGATGTTCTAGCATAAAGAGCACAGTATAGTGAGGGAGTGATGGAACTCTGGCAGTAGTGTGGAATGATGGGACATTCTTTCTTTTGTTTCCTTTCTCAGGGATTCAGACTTTCCTGAAGGAGACAGTGAAGAAATGCAGTAGGGATGGTTTTGTGCAGAGCATCCTGGGGAGGCGCAGATATCTGCCATCTATCAAAGATCCAAACCCTTACAGCAAAGCACATGTATGTTGAGAACCATTCTTCCTGAATAGTAGCAATTCCAGCTGTACTGGACCATCGTTATTTCCTCACTCTGAAGTAGTCATCAGAGTGAAGGATGGCTGGTTGCTATGGACTTACTGCTTCTCTTTAACATGGCAAAAACAAATGGACAAATAGATAGGTATAGTAACATTCCTTGGGGGTTCAGCTAGGAACATTTGTCCTGATGAACTCCAGAAGAGACCCTCCATCATCATCCTCATTAATATTATTATTTTACACAGACACACAATGAACTCCTCCTAAATGGTAACAGCAAGGGTCACCAAATTTGGTAGATAGGATAATATGAAGCTAACTTAAAGCAAGGTCAGGATTTGGTTGAGTCGGGAATGGGACTGTTTTCCACAGCATGGAAAAGGAGGGGCAGAGAGAGGAGGGACGTGATCCTCTCACTCTTCACTGGAGGCAGCGAGCAGGGACAGGATGCTGCAGAGTGAGTACTGGGGACAGCTACACCAGCACTAGACTGATCAGCTGGAGATGGGGCTTTGCATGTTGCCGGCTAGTCTGCCTTCAACGGTTAAGGTTCCCCCACACCCTGCACAGCTAAAGTGGCTTTGGGGTAATGCCCACCCTGCTATGGGGCCTGCACACTCTCACTCCCCTGCCACTCCATGTGGGCATGTGGAGATTCCTCTTCCCTTTGTGAGGCTTCTATCTGTCTTTATACTTGTCCGTGTCAGTATGGATCGTGAACCTTCCATCTACAAGAACCAAGCAGCCACACATCACCCCCCCCCCCCCCCCACACACACACACAAAAGACAGACCGACAATAAGGCAACAGGCACCGACAGAATCCCTGCTGAGATATTTCAGGAGGGAGGACCATCCCTGCTCTCATGCCTATACTCCCTCATCTAATGATCTAGAGAGAGGAAACCATACCCAGCAAGCTCAGAGACGCCATCCTAGTGACCATCTTTAAGAAGGGTGACAAGATGGACTGTGGAAACTATTGAAGGATCTCTTTGCTCTCAACTTCAGGTAAAATTCTTGCCTAAGTCCTTCTGAACTGTCTCCTTCCACTGGCTGAAGAAGTCCTTCCGGAGTCACAATGCAGCTTACGACCAGGGCGAGGAACAACTGATATGATCTTTTCTGTCTGCCTAATACAAGAGAAGTGTCATGAGCAACGTCAGCCTCTGTATATGGCATCTTCGATTTGACAAAAGCATTTGACTCTGTGAACCGTGAGGCCTTCTGGAAGAGCTTGCAACACTTTTGTTGTCCACCAAAATTTGTCAGTATTATATATCTCTTACACGACAACATGCAGGCCATGATACTCAACAATGGCGGTGCAATTGAACCAATTGGCTTATGGTCTGGAGTCAAACAAGGATGTATGATATCCCATGTGCTATTTAATATCTTTTTGTCAACCATGCTCCAGATTATTGGAAATGACCTTCCAAGCGGAGTTGAAATAACCTACAGGACAGATGGTAGCCTCTTCAGTCTGGGCTGCTTCAGAGACAAGACCAAGATCATAACCACAACGTCTGTGTTAGCACTCCAATATGCTGACGATATCCAGGTCAGTGCCACCTCAGAAGATGGGCTCAAAGCAATTGTTGACATTTTCACCATGGCCTACCACAGGTTGGGACTGACTCTCAATACACTAAGGACCAATGTTCTCGTTCAGCCAACACCCACCATACCATTATCCAAACCAACCATCACGCTGGACTATCAAGTACTGGAGAATGTCAACAGCTTCCTTTATCTCAGAAGCTTATCTGTTCAATGCTGACATCGACAATGAAATCCGCCATCGAATCTCCAGTGCCAGTGCAGCTTATGGATGTTTATGGAGGTGAGTCGTTGATGATCGAGACTCAGACCAAGATTGACGCCTACAATGCAATAGTCATCTCGACATTGTTGTATGGAGATGAAGCCTGGACTGCCTATAGAGGACATATTAAAGATCTGGAGAAATTCCACCAAAAGTACCTGAGGAGAATATTGGGCATCGCATGGCAGGACAGATGGACCAATGTTAGTGTCCTGGAGAGGCTGACTCTTGCAGCATTGAGGCAATAGTTGGTCACATGCAGCTATGATGGTCTGGTCACGTGGTCAGAATGCCTAAACAGATTTTCTACATTCAGCTGAGGACCAGGACGAGGTCTCATGGTGGGCAGAGGAAGCACTACAGAGATGTTCTTAAGAACACCTTGGTAAAGTGTGGCATTGATGACACCTCGGAGAGGCAGCTGAAGGGTTGGGTAACCTGGACGACCACTATCAAGAACGGTGCCCAACAATTTGAGGTCAAGCAGTGTCTCCATGAAGAAGATCATAGAGCCTGACGTAAGGAGTGTGCCTGGGCCCACGTTGGTGCTGCTGGAGATGGAGAACTTTTATGCAGCCACTGCCAGAGTGTTCCTTGCAGAATTGGCTTAATTTCTCATCTACACACTCATCTATTATAGGTATCCAAGGGGAAATCTTACTCAATTCGAGGAATCCCAGAGAGAGAGACAGGGTCTAGTGATTCCTCTCTCACCACTTCACCCAGAGCATGGGGATTCCCTCTGTCCTTGCCACTCCTCTTGGGGTCTGGGAATTTCCTTCTTCTCTCTCCCTCTGCACTGCTTCACCTGGGGTGGAGAGATTGTGTGCTACAAATCAATTGACACATTTGTGAACATCAATTAAGCTGTTCAATAATCCACAGAATTTCTGAATTCACTCAATCCTAGTAGTATGCCACAACCAACATCACCTGGTATTGGAGGTTGGATGTGCAATCATGCTTTTAAGAAACTTAGATGCTCCAAGACTTTGCAAAGCATAAGACTTTGCATTAAATCTTTGAGGCTACACACCATTGAACCTACCATTTTGACTGGATTTGCTGAAGGGCAGGATGTCTTTACCACAGATTCCATTGATATCTACAGATTATCCATTTCAGTTTAAATATCTCAAATTCCCAGAATGACTCATTTTTGAAATAACAATGAACAATGCATAGGGTCAGTTCTTCACAATTAGAGGAGTGAATCTGAGAATGGATTGCTTTGTACATGGGCAACAATATATTGTTACGCTCAAGAATGGGAAGTTCCAAAAATTGATTTATTCTAGCAAAAGACAGAAAAACTACGAACAAGCTGTATCTAATGTTTGATTTACTTTTATTCTTTTGTTAATACAAACTTATTTTTTCCTTCCTGTTTGAAAATTGCAATAATTTACATAACACATCTGCATTTTTTTTATTTCCCAACAAAACCCAACCTGCCATTTCTTGAGTTACATACCCGAGCAACACCGGGTAAATATGCTAGTATAATTTAAATAGTGCCTGTACAGTATACAGTGCTTTCCAGATATGGAGGAAATAACACATAATCTAAAGATTTATCAAACTACAATTTTTGAATGCTTTAAATATATCTTTTTTTCTTCCCATCATAACTCTGGCTTTACCAAGTTCATTCAGGGCATGCAGATTACTCCAACAATCCATTAGTTCAGTGTTTCCTTAATTACTTTTTAGAGCTTTTTGCCCATACTCTGAACTACGTCTTCTGCAGCTTGGTGTGTAAAAATCATCACGGTTGTAACCTCACTTCATCATGACCCTCACTGATTAGTTAAAATGAGAAATGCATTGATTTTAATGGACACAATTTAAAAAAGTAAAGCAGTGTTTAACTCTTTGGGATAAATAAGTCCCACCCAACAGGCCTCATTAATTGCATATTGTCAGCATTTCATCAAAAAGATATTTCAAATTCTACATTTTTTATGTTAAAAAGGGACCTTTTAACGGAAAACTGCAGTGACTACTAACTAGATAGTCTCATATTTTACAAATATTCAGCTATGTATAGAAAATGTTTTGCAAGGTGACACTTAGATCTGTCACTGTTCTGCCATTTCCCTAACAGTGAATTGACTCAGTGGGGGAGATGCCATTTTCCTGACACAGCATTATGCTTCTCAGTGGGAGGCTTAATGTTATAATATGGCATTAGGACTCACTGGAAATCCAGATACCAAATAAATGCATAGTGTAACAGGATACTTTCAAAATGTTGATATAAGGAGTTGGGGTTTTTAATTTTGGTGATTTTTTTTTCAAAAAACACTATTTAGATTAATTTATAGGTTACTAAATCTTAAAGAGGCTATTTGAAAAGATTCAGCTTTTATTCAATATTTAATTTTCCAAAATTATATTTAAGGCCCTTTATAAGATTGAGATTTTATTTTAATTTCAGTTTCCTTTAAATTCTCCTTCATGAATTTCAGTTCAGAGGTAAAGAAAGAACCACCTTGGGAAGAGAATTTTCTCGTTTAAGAAAAGCACTGGTAGAGAGACCTCTCTTTTATGTGAAAAACCTGCCTTAAACTATAGTAATGTAGCATGGTTTAGTTTTTGAAAAAGTTGTCCGAACATTTTACTGGTAGGATTTGCCCCAGTGGATCAGACCGGTGGGCCAAAAAGTCTATCATCTTGTTTCTAGTGCTATCCTATACTTTATGGCTGTGTCTAGACTGGCAAGTTTTTCCGCAAAATCATCTGCTTTTGCGGAAAAACTTGCCAGCTGTCTACACTGGCCGCTTGAATTTCCACAAAAGCACTGACGATCTCATATAAGATTGTCAGTGCTTTTGCGGAAATATTATGCTGCTCCCGTTTGGGGAAAAAGTCTTTTTCCGAAAAACTTTTGCGCAAAAAGGCCAGTGTAGACAGCAGAGATTTGTTTTCCGCAAAAAAGCCCCGATCGCGAAAATGGCCATCGGGGCATTTTTGCGGAAAAGTGCGTTTAGATTCGCCACGGGCGCTTTTCCACAAAAAGTGCTTTTCCGGAAAAGCGTTCTGCCAATCTAGACGCGCTTTTCCGAAAATGCTTTTAATGGAAAAGTTTTCCGTTAAAAGCATTTCCGGAAAATCATGCCAGTCTAGACGTAGCCTATATGTTGCAAAAAAGCACAAACACCCCATAATGCATCTAGCTAGTTGTGTGATTGTCCTTTGCGGGACAAAATGAGCTCTTCACACGTGTGGAAGTTTCCCAGTAATGGCTGGTGGCTGATAAATCTTATCAGCCTTAGTAATAATAATAATTCTTGTCTAGTGATAGATGCCTGTGGTTTGTGTAACGAATCATGACTTCTCTTCTCAAGCCAGCTTCCATAGATTTGTTACAAAGTGTATAACAGAGTTTATACTATGGGATGAATTTTCAGAATTGATATCTTTGTAATCCTCAGGCAGAGCGCCAGGCTGTGAACACAGCTGTTCAGGGTTCTGCGGCTGACATTGTTAAAACAGCCACTGTGAACATTCAGAGGCAGCTTGAAGCGTTCCCATCAGCAGTGAAGTCCCATGGACATCTGGAGAGCTTGTTCCAGAGCAACAGGACAGGTAGGCTTTTATTCTCCTTTGTATGTGATGTCAAAAGTCTAAAGCTGATAAAATTCGCTTAAAATAAAAGCTTGTTGTAGCTGTGGGCTTTGGGCAGGTGTTGTGGAATAAATGTTTATTTTCTCATACTGGATAGGCTGTCTTGTTGCCATGAGTAGGTGAATGGGCAAGTACTAAGAGAGGCAATGTCGGCTCAGCTTGTGAATGAGAACAGAATACTCTGATCTGAAAACCCTAAATACCTGATTGGTTCAGAGGGCATTGCAGAAATTTGGAAAATTGGACAAGGAAAACTGGAATTCAGTTGTGCTAAATTCCTTGATGTTACTACTGATTTGTTTAAAAAGAAAAAAGAAATGCAGATGCTCCATCTTCAAAGGCAAGAAAACACCAGTTGTGACAACAGAGTTGCCAAAGAATACTGTTTCCTTTAGATTTAAGTCTAGAGTGAGCGTGTTTTAAGATACAAAGATATGGTACAAAGCTTTTGTCAGTGTCTACCTGGGCTGGTCATACTACTCTTGAATTAGCAGTTTCAATTGAATTATTCAACCTTTGTGGCGCACAACATGTATATTTATCTGTATATTTTAGGCATGTTACATTGTCAGAACAATTGTAATTGGTTCTGTATTTCATAGCCCTCCAAGTATGTAGTGAGTGAGACTGTCCTAATACTGTGTATACAATTTACAGACCTAGAAGCAAATTAATAACTAATCTAACATCCATTGTACACAACTCTTGTTTGGTGACTTCGGCAAGGTGTGCTTATGTTATTTAGTAGTAGTAGCTGTAACTCCTGGTCACTGGAGTTGGCTGGGTAGAACCTCACTGCCTTTTTAGAATTAGCTATTAAAACAGTTTTGGAAGCAACAGCTTTCTAATTTATTGCTTGAGAGAACATTATATACCAAATTCTCATTAAACCCAATGTGATTGTGTTTAAAATTTGCTTGTAAAACAGATGGTGTAGGAGAAGTGGATGTCTTTGTTTTTTTTCCTAATTTACATCTTTATAATTTAAGGCTAGAATATCTATATTTGAAAAGCTTTGCATTAACATTCTTTAAATAAAGACAGTTGTATGAATATTAGGGATGTTAAAATACATTTTGTTTTGTAAACAAAGAGGTTACACTTTTACATGATGGTTGGCTTTTAAGCCACCTCCCCATGGGCACTAGGTCCCGCATGTCTTCTCCTCTTCCCCCTTTCTTCTCCCCACCCCCCAGCATCTTCTGATACCAACGCAGCACAGTAGGGGGCAGGCAGCTCTGTAGGAGCTGGTGCTCATAGGGAGCTGCTTTAAAAACTCTCTGGAAGTACCGGCTCCAGCCCTCCCCCCAAAACTGTGTGAAGGGTGAGTGCAGGCAGGTACAGGGAGCTGGCTTTAGCCAGCTGCCTAGGTGCATGGGTTACCGCCTCCTTCCTCACAGAAGCATCGGGGAAGGAAGGAGTGCGTGTACCTGTGAGGCTTAATCGAGGAGCCCAGTCTTACGGGTTAACCATGTACACAGTTGCACATTAACATCCCTAGTGAATATTGAAATAAACTCTCTACATAAAAAAGTTTTTCCTGCTGCATGACAGAATGATGTCATCACTCTCTCTGGTGGCAAAAGCTGCCAGAGAGGGGGTGTTGCCAAGCATAGTGAACAGTGGATGCAGCCTTCAATTAGTATAATAATGATATTTTATATATCTGTCCTTATATCCGCATGTGTAATTTTTTTTTCATCTTGGACTCTGTCATACAATTCTTGTTTGTAGCATTATGAAGGTATGTAGGTCTTTTGGGCTAAAACAGATATGATTGTGTGTGATGCTGGTTAATTGTGTATATGTTTTCCCTGTACAGGAAGGTTAGACAGGAGGAGAAACAGAGCGAAGTTACAGAGTGGAGGTTTCTTCATCCTCCAGCTCCATGATGAGCTCCTCTATGAGGTTGCAGAAGACAGTGTAATTCAGGTAGGGAATGTATTTGCTTATAGAAGAGCCCATGTTCTTTTCTATAACAACCTGGTTAAGTTCCTTTCTAGAGATCTGTCTTCTATTCGTGAGCTGTTTGCAAACTCATGCCCTATGAGTCTATTAAAATAAAGTTTTTTCTTAAGGCCATAGAGGTGTAAAAAGAGAAACAGTCTTGAATCCAGATTCTTTGAGTAAGTCAGGACGTCACCTGGCTAAAGTTCTAGACTAAAGAAATGCTGCCTTGGCTTGGAATGCTGGTGATCTCTAGTTACCTGCAACTTTCAGACTGACTCAGCATGGTGAAGTAGCTCCCCTGTGCAGCTGCTCTGAATGTGTGTACACTACAATATTCATGGACAACTTTCCCTCCTTACTTAAAGGATTCTTTGAGTTTGGGAGTTTTCTGCCTCATGGGGCCAACTTTGCTTTGTGCATTGAGTCACTAAATGAATTATTATGTATTGAGTCACTAAATGTATTATTTATTTGTTGTTGTAGTTTAGAATGTGTGTGAGGGAAGAAGGATGCTGTGTGTTTGGTACTTGTCTCTTTCCTTTCCAAATCTAGAAAGAAGAGTCCCCAGGATGCTTCTACACCTTCGATGTGTCTGTCTGACTCAGAGCAGAGGGAGAGTGCTCTGCTGGTGGTTGGCACTGATTTCAAGCATGTGCTGCTTCAGACACTCAATGACTCAGACAAGGCAATCACATTTGCTGATACTCCTCTACCTTTGATTCCTGGATAGGATACTTGAAAACCTCTGACTCAGCTGTCATGGTTTTGTCTCCCCTAGAGTGTGACCCTGTATACCCGTGGTCCCCAACACGGTGCGCCCGCGGGGGCATTTCTCGGTGCCCGCCAAGTGCTCAGGGCTGGCCTGGCCCCGGGCACGTGGTGCATGCGCGGTGCCGGAGCCGGCCCCGGGTGCGTGGCGCACGGTGAGCGCCGGCCCCGGGGGCACCGCGGATTGACCCCCCGCGGTGCATGGGGGGGGAGAGAGCGCCAGCGCTGGCCCCGGGCGCGCGGCGCTTGGGGGAGAGAGCACCGGCCCCGGGCGCGCGGCACTTGAGGGGAGAGCGCCGGCCCCAGAATGCGGCTATGGGGGGTCCCCGCCCCTCCGGGCGCCCGGCGGGCGAACAGCCACGCCCCCTGGCACCCGGCAACCCCAAATGGTTGGGGACCACTGCTGTATACCATAAGATAGGCAGGCTAAGACAATTGGTAATAGGCTCATGGCAGTGGTTTCTGGATCAAGTAGAAGCAGATGAGACCTTTCTAACGTGGGGCATGCCCAAGTGTGGTGTTCTCTCCAGTGAGCACTAAATGCTCCTCTGCACAAAGTGTCAAGTAAAGGCTTTGATGGAAGATGACATTGCCATTCACTGCTGGTTGGAAGAAATATACATGTTTCCTCCCCCATTGCTTCTGGTTCCGATTAAGTTGAGGAGATATTAATAAAGATTCCATTATCTTAATGCCCTTACCAGTGCTAAATAAGGTTCTCAACACTATTTAGTATCAGAGGAGTAGCTGTGTTAGTCTGAATCCGCAAAAGCGACGAGGAGTCCTGTGGCACCTTATAGACTAACACTATTTAGGACTTAGGGACCTTTTAACGGAAAACTTTTCCATTAAAAGCATTTTCGGAAAAGCGCGTCTAGATTGGCAGAACGCTTTTCCGGAAAAGCGTTCTGCCAATCTAGACGCGCTTTTCCGAAAATGCTTTTAATGGAAAAGTTTTCCGTTAAAAGGTCCCTAAGTCCTAAATAGTGTTAGCGACGAGGAGTCCTGTGGCACCTTATAGACTAACACTATTTAGGACTTAGGGACCTTTTAACGGAAAACTTTTCCATTAAAAGCATTTTCGGAAAAGCGCGTCTAGATTGGCAGAACGCTTTTCCGGAAAAGCGTTCTGCCAATCTAGACGCGCTTTTCCGAAAATGCTTTTAATGGAAAAGTTTTCCGTTAAAAGGTCCCTAAGTCCTAAATAGTGTTAGCGACGAGGAGTCCTGTGGCACCTTATAGACTAACACTATTTAGGACTTAGGGACCTTTTAACGGAAAACTTTTCCATTAAAAGCATTTTCGGAAAAGCGCGTCTAGATTGGCAGAACGCTTTTCCGGAAAAGCGTTCTGCCAATCTAGACGCGCTTTTCCGAAAATGCTTTTAATGGAAAAGTTTTCCGTTAAAAGGTCCCTAAGTCCTAAATAGTGTTAGCGACGAGGAGTCCTGTGGCACCTTATAGACTAACACTATTTAGGACTTAGGGACCTTTTAACGGAAAACTTTTCCATTAAAAGCATTTTCGGAAAAGCGCGTCTAGATTGGCAGAACGCTTTTCCGGAAAAGCGTTCTGCCAATCTAGACGCGCTTTTCCGAAAATGCTTTTAATGGAAAAGTTTTCCGTTAAAAGGTCCCTAAGTCCTAAATAGTGTTAGCGACGAGGAGTCCTGTGGCACCTTATAGACTAACACTATTTAGGACTTAGGGACCTTTTAACGGAAAACTTTTCCATTAAAAGCATTTTCGGAAAAGCGCGTCTAGATTGGCAGAACGCTTTTCCGGAAAAGCGTTCTGCCAATCTAGACGCGCTTTTCCGAAAATGCTTTTAATGGAAAAGTTTTCCGTTAAAAGGTCCCTAAGTCCTAAATAGTGTTAGCGACGAGGAGTCCTGTGGCACCTTATAGACTAACACTATTTAGGACTTAGGGACCTTTTAACGGAAAACTTTTCCATTAAAAGCATTTTCGGAAAAGCGCGTCTAGATTGGCAGAACGCTTTTCCGGAAAAGCGTTCTGCCAATCTAGACGCGCTTTTCCGAAAATGCTTTTAATGGAAAAGTTTTCCGTTAAAAGGTCCCTAAGTCCTAAATAGTGTTAGCGACGAGGAGTCCTGTGGCACCTTATAGACTAACACTATTTAGGACTTAGGGACCTTTTAACGGAAAACTTTTCCATTAAAAGCATTTTCGGAAAAGCGCGTCTAGATTGGCAGAACGCTTTTCCGGAAAAGCGTTCTGCCAATCTAGACGCGCTTTTCCGAAAATGCTTTTAATGGAAAAGTTTTCCGTTAAAAGGTCCCTAAGTCCTAAATAGTGTTAGCGACGAGGAGTCCTGTGGCACCTTATAGACTAACACTATTTAGGACTTAGGGACCTTTTAACGGAAAACTTTTCCATTAAAAGCATTTTCGGAAAAGCGCGTCTAGATTGGCAGAACGCTTTTCCGGAAAAGCGTTCTGCCAATCTAGACGCGCTTTTCCGAAAATGCTTTTAATGGAAAAGTTTTCCGTTAAAAGGTCCCTAAGTCCTAAATAGTGTTAGCGACGAGGAGTCCTGTGGCACCTTATAGACTAACACTATTTAGGACTTAGGGACCTTTTAACGGAAAACTTTTCCATTAAAAGCATTTTCGGAAAAGCGCGTCTAGATTGGCAGAACGCTTTTCCGGAAAAGCGTTCTGCCAATCTAGACGCGCTTTTCCGAAAATGCTTTTAATGGAAAAGTTTTCCGTTAAAAGGTCCCTAAGTCCTAAATAGTGTTAGCGACGAGGAGTCCTGTGGCACCTTATAGACTAACACTATTTAGGACTTAGGGACCTTTTAACGGAAAACTTTTCCATTAAAAGCATTTTCGGAAAAGCGCGTCTAGATTGGCAGAACGCTTTTCCGGAAAAGCGTTCTGCCAATCTAGACGCGCTTTTCCGAAAATGCTTTTAATGGAAAAGTTTTCCGTTAAAAGGTCCCTAAGTCCTAAATAGTGTTAGCGACGAGGAGTCCTGTGGCACCTTATAGACTAACACTATTTAGGACTTAGGGACCTTTTAACGGAAAACTTTTCCATTAAAAGCATTTTCGGAAAAGCGCGTCTAGATTGGCAGAACGCTTTTCCGGAAAAGCGTTCTGCCAATCTAGACGCGCTTTTCCGAAAATGCTTTTAATGGAAAAGTTTTCCGTTAAAAGGTCCCTAAGTCCTAAATAGTGTTAGCGACGAGGAGTCCTGTGGCACCTTATAGACTAACACTATTTAGGACTTAGGGACCTTTTAACGGAAAACTTTTCCATTAAAAGCATTTTCGGAAAAGCGCGTCTAGATTGGCAGAACGCTTTTCCGGAAAAGCGTTCTGCCAATCTAGACGCGCTTTTCCGAAAATGCTTTTAATGGAAAAGTTTTCCGTTAAAAGGTCCCTAAGTCCTAAATAGTGTTAGCGACGAGGAGTCCTGTGGCACCTTATAGACTAACACTATTTAGGACTTAGGGACCTTTTAACGGAAAACTTTTCCATTAAAAGCATTTTCGGAAAAGCGCGTCTAGATTGGCAGAACGCTTTTCCGGAAAAGCGTTCTGCCAATCTAGACGCGCTTTTCCGAAAATGCTTTTAATGGAAAAGTTTTCCGTTAAAAGGTCCCTAAGTCCTAAATAGTGTTAGCGACGAGGAGTCCTGTGGCACCTTATAGACTAACACTATTTAGGACTTAGGGACCTTTTAACGGAAAACTTTTCCATTAAAAGCATTTTCGGAAAAGCGCGTCTAGATTGGCAGAACGCTTTTCCGGAAAAGCGTTCTGCCAATCTAGACGCGCTTTTCCGAAAATGCTTTTAATGGAAAAGTTTTCCGTTAAAAGGTCCCTAAGTCCTAAATAGTGTTAGCGACGAGGAGTCCTGTGGCACCTTATAGACTAACACTATTTAGGACTTAGGGACCTTTTAACGGAAAACTTTTCCATTAAAAGCATTTTCGGAAAAGCGCGTCTAGATTGGCAGAACGCTTTTCCGGAAAAGCGTTCTGCCAATCTAGACGCGCTTTTCCGAAAATGCTTTTAATGGAAAAGTTTTCCGTTAAAAGGTCCCTAAGTCCTAAATAGTGTTAGCGACGAGGAGTCCTGTGGCACCTTATAGACTAACACTATTTAGGACTTAGGGACCTTTTAACGGAAAACTTTTCCATTAAAAGCATTTTCGGAAAAGCGCGTCTAGATTGGCAGAACGCTTTTCCGG